GAATAAATAGTAATATCACTTAAATGATCTTTATTCCATTGTCTTTTTATTGTTGTTGCTGTTCCTTGTATTGATAACTCTTAGAGACACGATGAACCATACTGTAAGTTCCCATGAGTAAAGGACTGATTGACACCCATTTTAACATAATTGCCATTATATGAAAGTTACCATAGTGACCAGGTTTCATTTATCAAATTGAACAATTTTATATATGATTAATGTTAGTTGCCCACTTCTCATGCTTGAACTTTTTCCTAGATGTTGATTTAGTTGCTGTTGCATTTGATCTGGTGGGGAATATAATCCAGTGCAATAAGTGATCAGTTTGGTATTGCTGAGAAAAGATGGATTCAGGTTGCTGTCAGGTCAGAGTTAGTTTCTCTTCATAGACACTGAAAGGTCAGGTAGAGTTTAACTACTATTGGGATCCTTGAAATTGTGTAATAAATGTCAGACCTAAAAGATTGTTATTAATACTCAATTCAATTAAAAGTCTTTGTGTTCTGACAAAAAGATTTTTATTTAATTTAGCAAGCAAATTAGAAGTCAGAGCAGTGCTCTCACAGGCAGGTAAACAGCACCTTTAAAGCTAAAATCATTCTTGCTTTTCTCATTTGTAAGGTAAGGTTAAAAATGACACATTCAGTTACTATCTCAAGGGATTTGAAATATCAATGATAGCTCTCCAAAGTTAATAGTGAACCCCAGGTCATTGTTAATAGCTCCCACTTCAGGAAAGGAATTGCAGTGGGATTTACAAGTTGCTGCTAATACTACATTTAAGTGTTGCTATATCCTCAGCAATTTACTTAGTCTGTCCCAGAATGTTATATATTTCTTTAAGGGATAGTAAGACAAATTTTCATTGATGGGGATGAAATGACTTGTGGTTCTTCACTAAATTACTGTTCATATGATTTATATCAAATAATTTGAAGGCTATGCCATCATTAATTCATTTTATTAACTGGACTTCCTTTTTTGGAAGAATAAAACGGCTCATCTTCTTTACTTGCTTACTCCTTGATTCATAAATGGATGATGACATGAAACAAAAATAAATCTAATTGAAAATTCATAATCTTAATGATCAAATATCAGCTAGCTTGTCTATTACAACTTGAAATAGGTATATCACAGAATGTATCATCTTATTGACACCAAAAAATGTAACGAATTTCTCTATTAGAGAACTGCCAGTTCTATATAGCTTATAGGCTAGAAGATAATGCTCTGATGACAATCCAGTGCAATTGCAGAAGAATGAAGAACTATTGAAATATATTTTAATTTTCTTTTTTACTGTGGCATTTTTTTTTACAGATGTTTAGAGAATGAAGGGGAAAGCCATATCAGAATAAATTATATTAAACATTGGATGGACCCAGAGAAAATCAGAATTCTCTGGTATAATTTCAATACAAATAACATATAAATGTTATATCTAATATTAATTTCATAAAACAGAAGATCCCAAAGATTTAGCTGAACTATTTAAGAAAATTATTGTTATTTTATGAGATTATTTGCCCTATATTTTAACAAGTTCCCTTGACAGTATGCATGGGTGACTTATCAGCTGAGCTACTTGAGTGGAAACTTAAAAAAAAAGGCCTGTTTTATTTTATGGAGCACAAATAGCCTGTTAATTAAAATGAAAACAAATAATTGCAAAAAAGCAATTATCATTCAATTAAGGAGTAATTACATGGTTATTTGTGCCCAGTAAAATAAAGTCTTACCGAGATCAGTAATGCAATCAATATTTTAGAAACAGAATGCTGCAGTGATGAACGTCTTAACCTATGCCAATTGCCTTTTAAATAAAAGTTTCCTAGTTAAATCACTACATATTTATTAGTTTTGATTAACATGTAAATATCTGCCTGATGTTAATAAAGCTCTTAAAGATAGGGTGTATGGCAGGATCATCTATCAAGGATGACCTCACCTAATTTTCTACAGAATCCTCTATAGTTTTTTTTTAAATCATATTGTCATGATTGTGTTTGTGAAAATAAAATTCAGGAACTTTAGTGTTTCGAATGTCTTTCCAGAGAGGATTGTGAAGTCTAAAACTAAGAATTAAACTTTCTTATATTTATATTGAGTTTTATTAATTTTAAATCACTTCCATAAAATTAATTCCAATCAATGTACTCTAAACACCCAAGTCTTTGCACAAAAGTGAAAAACAAAAGTATCTAAGTGTTTTTTTCCTCACTGATACATTTAGACAATTTTGGAAGTAGGTATCACACAAGTATACTCACTGAAGAATCAATGAGAAATTTTAAATAATAGAGCAAACTCGTGTATCTCTCTAGGCCACAAGCTTTTCAAGAGCAGAACTTGATATACCAATTAAAAAAACACACATGCAAAAAGCCTTTTTCCTTTTTGACCTTACATTTTAACCTCAGGGTCACTGATACTAAGCACTATGCCAGACACATACTGAGCAGACATCTAGTGGATGTTTGTTTACTAGGTGATTGAAGTAATGTCACCATATACATGTGACTGCAGGAGCATTTAGATCTTCATCAAATCTTCAGTCTTTTGGGGCCTTTAACAATGCAAGGGAATAGCATCTATCTGTAACCCTCCTTAGTTTTGTATATATCCAGATTTGAATGGATCATACTTTGAAACTTCTACAATTGTGGAGTCCAACTTTTATAAAATGATTCCTTCATCATTAAATGATGGAATTCGCTTCTTTGTTCATGTTGTCAAGGAGAACAGAACAGTCTAAGGAATATTTGGAAAGTACAGAAACAGTGAAATCATATTTTCTACCTATGTTTATTGATTTAATTACCATTTAGTGCCCCTTCCTTTGTGATGGAAATTAAGAAAATTGCTTAGAATTAAGTGACAAAACCAGACATATTACCCTCATGGAGTTTAGATTTTAGTTGGGGAGACTTGCAATTATACTAACAACATAAAATTATTAACTAATAATTATATTAGAATGAGGAATATGATCCTTTGGAGTTTATAACATATGCAGTAGATATAATCAAGCCATTCTGACATAATCCAGGAACTCTTCAATAGTGAGACTTGACCAATTTTTTCAAATGTTGGAATTTAAAGTTGAACCATTAAACTAAGAGGTTTCTGAAGTCCTCTAAATTTAACTTGACTTATTGGAAGAAAGCTGTTTTGAATAGTAAGGACGGAACAAGAAATTTGGAACAGAACTAAACTCTAGCCATAAAAGTATATTGTTATCAGCTGGCAGTCACTTGGCTTATCATACGGAGTAGAAGGAACACCAGACCGCTTACTTCTGGAGGCAGCCTATCTGACAATGATCATAATGATTCAAACTGCACTGAAATGTTTACAGTGGGAAAGTTAAAAAGATAATGAGATAGATTTAAATATAGTAGGGCTGATATCTGACAAATGAAAGTATACAAGGAAGCATTTGAAAAATGTAGATTTGGGTGAGGATTATTCAACAAAATGTTATGCCTTCTTCAAATGACTGGACATACCCTGATGAATATTATGTAGTCAACTTGAGATCCTTTAGGAAATTTGTCCTTTCACCATTCCTTGAAGGAGTTAAAAAACCTTAAAAGTGGGGAAGGGAATGTGGATAACAACACTGAATAAAATAAATTACTATACAGTGGAGAATCAGTTTATAAAATTGAAACATTAAATGAGAAAAGTAATTTTTATGGTACATTGATATATAATATTTATGTCCAGTGGAAGAAAACAACACTAATAAGGTAAAGAAAAATGAACTGCGTAATAGCACCTCTATGTAAGGGTGGTAGAAGTTGCCTGCAATTAAAAGCAGAGTTTGTCTTATATTAATGGAGCACTTTACTACTGCAAAATTGAAAGAATGTGGTTCAACTTAAATTTCTTCGTGAATCAAAAGTGAATTTTGGAAATGTTGTCTGTTTGAAGACATATATCTTTTGCTGCTTAGGCAACATTAAAAAGTAATTTTTTAATATATTGAGTGACTTAAGAATGGCTTGATTCTAATGTGTAATAACAAGTTTCTTCATTGTGGTGGTGGCATCTGAATGGTGCTTTCAGAACTCTTGACTTGTATTAGGTACAAATTGGAGACAATGGATGCTGATTTTTTTATATTATTATTATATGGATTAACATTTGCAATTGTAATTTATAAACTGTACTAGAGTTAAAAATGTGCAAATGCATTAGGTTAGGTAGTGTTTTAAGTTTAGCCTCATCTTATCAATTAAAAACAACAAATCTGGGGCTGGGGATTTAGCTCAGTGGTTCTGGCTCCTGCCTTGCAAGCGCAAGGTCTCGAGTTCGATTCCCGGTACCAAAAAAAAAAAACAAAAAAAACACACCAAATCTGGGGGTGGGGGAAAGGCATCCTGGATTGCAAAGGTAGCAAGTTTCATTAGTACAGTTACTCCAAGAGAGTGCACTGCTGGTGACATAACCTGTTTTTTTTTTTAAAAAAATAGGAGAAAAACTACAGCAGGTGAGTCTTTTGTTCCTCATGAATTCCTGAAATCTGTAAAAGAGCTAATAAATATCAGATTTTGTTCTACTTCTCTCAACTCTTTAACCGTCACCTTTGGCATGCTGAGCAGAGACTAATCACTTTATATTCTGCACAATCTTAATTTGGTGAGTGTACATCTCATATCTTAGTAGCATACTTTAATATTGGGAATCATGTGTAGCTTTAAGAACAGGAGGTAACAGAAGGTTTTTCACAGCAGATGAACTGTATTGCAAGGTGCTAGCCCATAAATGGTGTGTAATCTAGAAATTAATCCCTTCTGACTTAATGTTTGCCATAACTATGTTGGAAAATTCATGAAAGGTATTGGACTTTTAATAATCCATGAAAATACATAGTGTCTAATGTAAAGTCATCATTCTTGATAACTAAACATTTAAAAGATGAATGTAACAAGTGATAGAATTTCTAAAATGCATGCATTTTTACCTGATCTTTATCTATTTCTCCACAGTTCCAGGCCTGGCAGGCCCCCTAAGCGTTCGTTAGGAGTGTTGCAAGAGAATGCCTGCCTTTTGCCCCATGCAATTCCAGGCCTCTTATCACCAGGACTTATCACTCCAACAGGTAATAAAATCCATCTGATGATCAGCTTTCTCTCTTCACACTGGCCAGCATTTGAAATAATTAATATTGATCTAACTGCTTTGTCCTTCAGAGTTTTTCATGCTCTCCTAGAGGTTACATTATTGAATATTTTGATTCTTTATGAAAACAAGTTTTGTTACTCTAATGATTTAAATCAAATGGACATTAATTTTTAAAACTCATATCCTTTCTAAAAATTCCTTTGTTGGTCTTTTTGTATGTATATATTTGTACGTTGTGGGCAGGAATGGAGGCCACTGGCCAAGGTAGCATCATCTCAAAGTTTCCTATAGGATGCAGAACATTTGTTTACTTTATATCTCTCAGTAATACTTTTTTCTGTTTTCAGTGGTTCTAGGCATCCATGGATGTTGTTTGAATTATTACTATAGGTTATAAAGTAGAAAAAAATGCATCTTTAATAGACAAGAATTATAATTAAAAAAGAAGAAAATGGAGCTAGTCATTGTCCTGAAAAAGTCTCTCAATAGAAATAGAAATATTGAGAATCTGAACTAAGGCAAATTCAATAGAAAAGAGGTTCCAGAGTTGATAGTAATTAAAATTAAACAATTTGATAATTGATTAGATGAATATGTGGACAAGGTGGAGTCTAGGATGATTCATTTGTAACTTGCATGACAGGCTGTGTGATGTTATCATTAATTAAAATGGAGAACTTGTATACAGGCTTGTATACAGACTCAGGCTTTTGGGGGAGGATAATGAATGTGATGAATTTAAGTATTTATAAACAAATTCTGAAATGAATGATTTCCTGTACATATAAATAAATATAGAAGGTGTAACAATTGCCCCAAAATGTATCTTTGTGCTTGATAAATGATAATCTATTTTTGACTTATAAACTATAGCCTAGAAATATCATATAAATAATCAAGTCTATGTTCAGGTTTTGAAAGATGACAAGATTTAAAAGTTCCCTTGTAGCTAATCCACTCTTGAGTAAACATTAGTAGTTTATCTATCAAGGAAAAGCTCCAATGTATAATTAATGCTTATTATGTATCAGGCACCGGTGCTAATTGTTTTAATATACACTTTATTTAATAATTGTAGTAAATCTGTGGATATTATCTTCAGTTTTCATGTAAACAATGTTTGGCTCAGTGAGTTTAAATTAATTGCTGAAGTTCATACTGCAAATGAGTGGCAGATCTGAGTTTAAAACCCAAGTCATTTTAGCTCTAGATCCCCATGCCTTTACTTGGCATACATATCTCATCTACTATAAGATAATAAATCCTCTTTGGATTCAAACTTTGCCCGTCAATTCAACAATTTGTATTTACCACTAAGTATGCCATTGAGACAAAACTCAAAGTTTCATTCTTTGCTTGTCCTTAAAATGAGATGATAGAGATAGATAGGTGCTTGAATGGGGAAAATTATGAGCATATCTGTTGAAAATATGAATATGTCAAAACAAAAGTAATGAAGAGAAGTTGGAGGAATATGCAAGCTGTAGAGTAATTTCACTCCTTAGTGTACGTGAGGTCATTTCACATGCCTAAGAATAACTTACAGACCTATAGTCACATTTTAGAAGAAAAATGTTTCATCAAATTAAGCAGAAATAATCTTGGGATTATGTTCTATTTTGAAATAAACACAATTTCACTCTGCTGATAGCAAAGATAATTTAGATAAAATCAATTTTCAATGTAGATATCAGTGAATTTCATATTTAACTTGCTTTACAAACTTAAATGTCATTAATTTCACATTACTTCTGAAAAACTCAGTTGATATTTTTAATGTTGTCTATCAAAGATTTAGAATTATCCTCCTCCCCTACTGATTATTGAAATATTTTTAAATATTTTCCCTTCTCAGGTTTTTCTTTCTCAGGGTATTTTTGTAAAGTAAGAAATGACAATTTACATCTGTATATAAATTTACATACAACTGAAAATTATTCGTTGAAAAAATGCTGTTGGTACCTACTCTTTCAATGTCATATGTATGGTAAAGCATGTTTGAACACTGCCTGGTTTGCCTAAGAAAAGGATTTTGTTGTGCATTGGTTCATATCGTTGCTCTTTACCTTTTATTATTTGAAAATGAGATCTAAAAGTACCAAAAAGAATGATCATAGTATCTCTTTTTATATATTGTGTTTTTTTGTATATTATTATGTGTTGCCTATAAATACTTTGCCTCAGCAGTTGCAAATAATAATAATACCAACAAAAATAGTTTTTATATAAGAATGGTCCTTCATTGTATAGCACTTGATAGGAAAAGCCTTAAAGATGCAGTATATGCCATATTGTTTTATTTATATAGTATAAAAGTAAAATCATTTCTATCTGATTTTCTTTTCTTTTCTAATTTATACTTTTGTGTTAATTTCAAAGACATTTATTTCTTTTTTATTATATTTCCCCAGAATAACAAAACCTCATTCATTCATATGCCACTAGAGCAGACTTTGTGGTAATTCATACAGAGGTTATTCTGAGGTCTTTGTTATTAATGAAAGTAGTTTAGTCAGCAAATTAAATGTATAAATAAGAAGTGCTTGTGTGTCAAGTATGTTTGTGTGTGTGTGTGTGTGTGTGTATGTGTGCATAGGAGTAGTAGTATTAAGATACTTAAGGGTTATTTAGTTCCCTAAAAGCACTTTCACAAGATCTGTTATAAAAGAATAAACATACTAATTAACAATGATTGATAACTATTCATAATGGTTGGTCCTACAGAATCTATTTTTGAGAATGTTTTCAAATATTATTTTATGTTTTATTGCTATGTAACTGTAGACATATAGGAATTACATATAAATTGATATAGAGATGCATATGTATGCATTCATTCTTTTCATTGAACATATATATTGAACTTCTAATCTGTTCCAAAGAAAACATTTTAACACCAAAATAAAATTGATTTGTGAGTCAGTTTTTCCATATTCCAAATTCCACTCAGCTTTATCCCTATTTGTCCCAATTTTATCCCTATTTATTCCAAAATCATGATGTTTGATTGCATTTTGCTTGCTTATATTTGAACTACTGACATTTTCATCTCATGTTTCTATTTCTATTATTTAATTAGAATCTTACTTTCCTGACAGAATATTAATGCATACAGATTTTATGTTCTAGTATCTCTGTAAAATATTTTGAGCTATAAAGGAGAAAAAAGGGGATATTATCCCCATCCTTCTCTGCATCTCTGAAGTGTTAGTGTCCTGTATCACCCTGAATTGATGTATTAATTGTAGGAACTTTTGAATTTCCCAAAAGCTGACTGCTGTTCATTCCTCAGTTTATAAAGTATTTCAAAGAGACAGATGTTGAATTTGGCCTGAGAGAGATGTACACTGACAGATTACAAGGATATAACAAAGTAGTTCAGAGAAAGCTCCTGTAATGTTCATTCCCTAAAAAGTAGTAGAGACCTCAGTTGGATATTTTTTCTTTTTGCTGCATTTTGACAAAATATCTTTGAGAATGTCAGCTGTAATCCAAGTCACTGAGTAATTGAAACTATTCAGCTCCAATTGAGTAATAGTAAGTACAAAACTCAATTCAGAATTGACAGAGCCAAAGTGAGTGTGTGCCTAGTCTTGGTAGGGTGATGTCACATTCATGGTATGATATAATGCCAGCTATCTTCATAGCCTCATTGGAATCAGTATCCCTGGTTTACATGATGGATTTATTTACTTTTCTCACTCATTTAGTTTGGATGCTAAAGAGTAGTCATAAAGACAGATTCCAGATCATTTTGAATGTAAAAAAGACGATCAAAAATTCATTATAGAAAATCAAAGCAATTTTTATGGTGACTGACTTAAGATATGTCTGTTTCTATGATTGCCTTCAGTTTATTCAATGAACAATATTATAAAGCACAGTTCATGTCAGATAAGTAGGAAGTGTTGTCATTGATGTCACTGCATTTTCTTTATTTCTCATATACTCAGGAAGACATATTGGCTTAGTAGAAGCCAGAAGTTGAATTACTACTATTTCTAGCACAAAGTAGGGGTTTTAGATTGATGTGAATTTCTGATTTCACTACTAAATTAAAAGCTTAAGTGCATTAGTTTCATAGTAAGAACTTTATTTATTTTATGAACCAATTCTGAATCTCTCAAACTTCAATTTCTTCATTAATGCTTCTCTGTGCTTTTTTCTAGAGTATGATTATTTCAACTTAAAAATATCTCCAGTCAATTTTTCACACTCTTTTTTTTGGGGGGGGGAGGTACTGGGGATCGAACTTGGGACCTTGCGCTTGCGAGGAAGGCAGCAGAACCACTGAGCTGAATCCCCGGCCCCAATTTTTTACACTCTTGACAATCAATTTTACTCTGTACTTGGGACTTATAGACCAGAAGCTATTCCTTATATTCAATATAGTTAGAAAGCAGATATGTGGAATTTAAGAATACTTTACACGATGATGTTGATGGTGATGATGAGGATAATGATAATGGTGACAGCACAGTAATGATAATGTGGTGCTTTTCAAAATACTACTACAACTTTAATGTATTTGTGTGTGTGTGTGTGTGTGTGTGTGTGTAGCTAAACTTTATGTTTAGTAAGAACTACTTTCAATTGTTTCCTCATTGGATCATTTTAAATACTATGTAAAGTTAGCATTATTATTAATAACACTAGAGTGCTAGAGATCAAATTCAGGGCTCACCCAGGCTAAGCATGTACTCTACCAGTGAAATCTATCTCCAGTTCTGAGGCTAACATTATTTTTTTAAATCTAAGGACAAGATTTTAAGGTGTTTATTTGAAGTAATTATAAAAACTAACTAGTCACTTTTTCAATCTTAATACATTTCATTAACAAAAATAAAAATTGTGCTGCTATAAACATAGGTATGCTTGTATCACTGTCATATAATGACTTTAAATCTTTTGCAGAGATATGCAGAAGAGGAATAGCTGGATCACATGGAATTTCTATTTACAGTTTTTTGGAGCAGTCTGCCTACTGATTTCCACAGTGGTAGTACTAGTTTACATTCCCAACTAAAACTTGGTGGATTCATTTGCCCTAGAATCTTATGAACATTTCTTATTTTTGTTGTCGTTGTTATTTTGGTGTGGTTTTTTTTTTTTTTAAGTTTTTGATGGTAGCTATTCATACTGAGATACAATGGAATCTCAGAGTTGTTTTAATTTGCATTTCTGTAATCACCAAAGGGGCAGAATGCTTTTCATGTAATTTTTGGACATTTGTACTTGTTCTGAGAAGTATCTATACATCTCAATTGCCTGTTTTTTAAATTAGGTCTTTTATTTTGTCGGAGTCTAATTTTTATGAGTTCTTTATGTATTTTAGATTTTAGTCTGCTGAGGAGTAACTGTCAGTTTTTTTAAAATTCTGTAAGTTGTCTCTTCATTCTGCTGGTTGTTTTTTCAATTGATATAATCCACTGTTTTATTGATGCTATTTTTTGTGTAATTGGGGTTCTGTTCAGAAAATCTGTGCCTTTGCCTATGTCTTCAACTTTTACCTATTTTATCTTCTAGAAGATTCACTCTTTCTATTTTTGTATCTTGTTGATTTATTTGATTTTCTTTTATTACACGGTGAGAGATATAGTTCTAAGTTCATTCTGGTCCATGTGAAAAACCACTTTTCCCAACACTATTTTTTTAAGTGGCTGTCTTTTCTCCATCATGTTTTTGACCTCAATGCCAGAAATCAGACGGCTAAAAGCACTTCAAGCTATTTCTGCATCCTCAACTCGATTACACTGGTGAACTTATCAATTTTTGTTTGTTTGTTTTTGAAGACAGGCTCATCCTATGTAGTTCAGTCTTGGTTTGATCTCATTATGTAGGCCAGGCTGGCCTCCAATGACCTTGCAGCAATCTTTCTGTCTCAGCCTCCTAAGTACTGGGATTACATTTGTATGCCAGTATGTCTAGTAGAATAATATCTATTTTTGTTTCAGCATCATGCTGTTTTTATTATTATTATAGCTTTGTAATATAACTTGAAATCTGGTATTGTGATGCCTCCTGATTTGCTCTTTTTGCTCAGGTTTGCTTTGGATATTCTGGGTCTGTTCTGGTTCCATATACATTTTCAAATTGCTTTTCTTAGTTCTGCGAAGAATTCTGTTGGTATATTAATTACAAATGCATTTAATCTATATATCAGTTTTGGTAATATGTCCATTTTAATAATCTTGGTTATACCTGTTTTACTTTTCTCCTTGCTGAGACACAATACCTGACACCCACAACTTAAAGAACCAAAGGTATATTTTTCTTCACAATTTGTAAAGGTTTTAGTCCATAGTTGACTGGCTGCAAGACAGGGAGGCATGGCAGAGGGTTGTGATAGGAAGAAACAGTTCATGGCATGGCAGACAGAAAGGAGAGAGGGATCAAGAGAAGAAGAAGAATATATATTTTTCAGGCCACACCCACAGTGACCCACCTCTTCCCACCAGGCTTCACTGCTCAAAATCACACCCAGCTCTAAACCCATCTGTAGACTAATTCAATGATGAGTACTTCAACCCATAATTCAGTCAGCTCCCAAAATCCCCACCTATGAGCACATGGGGCTTTGGGGGACATTTTAAATATAAACCATAATATTATCCAAGAAGAGGGGAGGTCTTCCCATTTTCTAATGTTCCCTTCAATCTCTTTTTACAGAGTACTACCCTTTTAATTATAAAGATCTTTTACTAACTTTGTTAGCTTAAATCCTAGCTGTTTAACATTTTTTGAAGGTACCATTTATGAAATATTTTTTTTCTGATCTCTTTCTTGGCAAGTTCATTCTTCATGTACAAGAACACTTGATTTTTGTATGTTAAATTTGTTTCCAGTCACTTCTGCTGAATTTATTTATTACTTTTATGAGATTTCTGGTGGGGTTTTTGCAGTCAGCTTTGTGAAGGATCATGTCTTCCACAAATTCCTTTTATTTCTTACTTTTGACTTATGCTTTGGCTGAATTTTTGAGTACTGTACTCAATAGGAGTAGTGAGGATCGATACCCTTGTCTTGTCCCTGTTGTTAGAGGAAATGCTTTCATTTTCTCCGCATTCAGTATGATATTGTCAGTGCATTTTTAGAAGAGACTTTTATGAGTTTGAGGGAAGATACTTGCATAATCATATTTAACAGTATTTTATCAAAAACAGATGCTGTAATTTGCCAAAGGATTCTTTTTCATCTATTGAAATTATCATTTGATTTTTATCCTTATTTTATTTTGGGGGTGTATCACATTGATTCTTGCTTCTCTGAGGTGAAGCCAACTTGGAGATAAAACATGACCTTATTGATGATTTGTTAAATCTGTTTGCAAGTCACTTGTTCAGGAGTTTTGCATCTATATTCAGTAAGAAAATTGGCCTGAATTTTTCTTTTGTTTCTTTTTGTCAAGTCCTTTTCTAGTTTTGTTATGAGGGTAATTATAGGTTTAAGGAAAGACTTCAGCAGTGCTCCTTTCCTATCAATATCATGGAAGATTTGAAGAAAATTGGCATTAATGCTTCCCTAAAATTCTGGTAAAATTCAGTAGTAAGTCCATTCAGTCCTGGGCTTTTCCTAGTTGCTCAGGTTCTTATTGCTGACTTTATTTCATTGCCTGTTATTGGTCTGTTCGTGTGTTTTATACCTTTTTGTTTCAGTATTGGTAGTTCATATATGTTTTGCACTTTATCCATATCTTTAAGTTCTCCAAATTATTTGAAATTAAGTTCTTGAGATAGTATCTTATAATCCTCTGGATATTGACAATGTCCATTATGATTTTACCTTTTTCATTTCTGATTGCAGTGATATGAATCTTTTCCTTTATTTTTTTAGTAGGTTTGGCTAAGGGCTTATCATTCTTGTTTATCCTTTCAAATAACCAACTCTGATTTGGCAATAAGCTTTTTTTTCAGTATTGTTTGATTGATTCAGTATTGTTTGTTTAATCTCAATTATATTAATTTCTGTTCAGATTTTCATAATTTCTTTCCTACAAATTTTGGATTTAGATTGCTCTTATTTTTCTAGGATCTTGAGATGCATCAATAGGTTGTTTATTTGGGATATGTATGTTTTCCTAATGTGGGCCATTACATCTATATATTTTCCGCTTATAAGTGTTTTCATTATGTCTCATAGATTTTGATATTTTTGCTGCCTTGTCATTTGATTCTAAGAATTTTGTAATTTGATCAATGAGTGCCTCTGGAACCAATTGATTATTCATCAATGTATTATTTAATCTTCATAGGTTTGCATAATTTCTGTGTTTTCTCTCCTTTGTATTTCTACTTTTATTCTATTATGAGCTGACAGGATGCAGGAGATTATTTTAGTTTTTCTGTTTCAAAGTGTGATTTATGGCTGAAGATACTGTCTATTTTGGACAAAGTTCTCTGTCCTGCTTAAAACAATGTGTATTCTGCTGGTGTTGAATGAAATGTTGTAGTTTTTTTAGTATAATTGTTTGATATTCTGGCTCAACCATGATATATATTTTTTAATTTCATTTCTTAATTCATTAATTTTATTGGTGCATTTTATGTATACAAAATGCTGACATTCATTGTTGGGAATTTGTATCTTTACATAATATATCTTGGTTCTTATTTTTCCTCATTCCCCTGCCCTCCCTTCAACTCCTCCACCCCTCCCTATTTACAATGACTTTGTTTCCATTTTTTCCTTTTCTCATATTTATTCCTTTCCTTTCTGTTCTTTCCCCTACCCCCTCAATGTCCTCTTCCGCTTTGCACCTTTTCTTCCTATTTCACATTATCTAGGATACATTTTGGTCCTTATTTACACTTTCAGTTTCTCACACTAGAGGAACTATTTGGTATTTATACATGTGTACTATTTATTTCACTTAAGAGTACCATCTCAATGTGCATCCATTCAGCTATAAATGTCCCTACTTTCTCATTCTTTTTTTATTATTCTTTTATTGGTACATTTTAGGTATAAAACACAACTACATTTCTCATTGGGAATTGTACCTTTACATAATGCATCTTGGTTCTTATTTTTTCCCCATTCCTAGTGCTCCCTTCACGCCCTCCACCCTTCCCTATTTACAAAGACTTTATTTCCATTTTTTTTTCCTTTTCTCATCATTTTTCCTTTCCCTTCTTTCCTTTCCCCTGCCCCTCCCACTACCCCTACCCCTTTGGACTTTTTCTTCCTATTTT